AAGATAATTATTGAATCTGAGGGTTCAAATGCAAGGCTGTGGTCTAGCAGCGCCCTGTGGCCCCTGGCACCTTACTTTTGCTCTTGGGTGACTCAAGAATCTTGGTTTTTTCATAAAAAGCATAATTATGCTGGGCACCCTGGATTTCATGGTTTCAGAGCACTGGGCTCCCTTCAATTTTTCTTAGAGCACAGCCATGAAATGAAGGGGGAAGATTTTAATTCAAACAAAATTTTGAATTTAGTGGGCCATTAAGTGAAATATGGTCTGCTAAATTGACCAATCATGGCCAACCAACTGACTGAGATATAAAAATTTCTTTAGCAGACCCAACCGGTTTCACTTAGCCACCCACTACGCTCTTCAATTCTAACCTTGTTCCAGTATGTTTTTATCTCCACCATATCCAGTACCTTCACAGAAGAATTCACAATCTTTTATCTCCAGCCTTACCACACATCTATAAACAGCATTTGTCCTTTCCTGGCTATCTCCAGCTTCAGACCTATTCTCAAGTCTATCCAACTAAAAGAACAGAACATCAGCACTGGTTAGTGACTGATGGAGCGGGATTTGTAGCACAGTTGTAGAGCAGTATGGACAACTAGCTTTCTTGCAATGTTCATTAATGCTGTTTTCATTTTCCTTTTCAAGAAGTGCTCCCTCTGTAGATTTCAGTGCTTACATTAACATATTATTTCTGACAGACCCTCAGACTCCCATGAGTGACCAAGATAAAAATTCTCCATACAATATCCATACAAAATCAGCAGAAAAGAGAGGAGAGGAGAGAAAAATATCAACTACAGTATCAGTGGTTCATCCAATACCAAATTATCTGTAATAACATCATAAGAATTAATTTTTATGGTAGAAAGTAAAGAGAATTAATAATAACAACTGGCAATAAAAGGTCAATGTTTGCCAGATTACCTTTTTACTGTGAGAATTTTCTTTCTCCCCGATTGGTCTGTCATGTTTTATTACTCAGAAGTAACCACCTTGCAGGGGGGAGAGAGATTACATCTTGGAATCCTTAGGAGGGTTCTTAGGAGAGTTTTGCAACCTAGCTCTTCAAATCATGACCCTTCTTCAGATATATTTATCATTTTCCACATTTATTATTGAAAGTGGCTAAAACTCACTACAAAATTTGATTACTTCTCTTTCTGAAAAACTCAATTTAGAGTTGAAAGCAAAAATACTGTCATATACCAGTCCTGTATGCCCTATTACATTGTATAACTGGTATAGGACCTTAAGAGTCAAAGCTTACATCCATCTTCTGACCAAAACAATAATTTAAAAAAGCTGTACTCTTTAGAGCAGCACATAACTAAACAGCTTAACATGTGGAGAATTAAATTTTAAAAAAAATCAGAGAAAAAAAAAAGAAAGAAAACTTGCTGCTGTTAGACACAGATCACTTCTCTCTTATGCAACAGACTCAACTGGGAGAGAGGGAATTCTGGCTCAGAGTATGCTATACTGTCCTTTAGCTAAATAATAATAATATTGCTACAGGATAGGTGTAAACCTACCAAATTTAATTGTTCTTTGAAAGCTTCCAAGTCATTAAGAAAATGTTTTATCCCCTAAAGAATAATATTATGGTAACTCATCATAAAAGCGAAAAAAAAAAGCCAAGTGATGAGTTGTAATGATTAGTTTCTGTCATAGGGATACAGAGAATCTCTTACCTGCGTTATCCGAGTTGACCAACCATTGAATCCTAAATAGTAATTAGCCAGCACTGTACACTTTGCCATGTACAATGGTCGTCGAACCTCTGTGAACTTTTTTCGTTGAGCAAATCGAACCTGCATGTGGGTCACACATACCAGTACATGAATTCAATGATGCATTATATTACTAAGGATTATAACAGAAGTAGAAGCAACTATTATCATCTTGTGTATGGGCCTTTTATTCATTTAAAGCCAAGAGAACATCAAATTTACACGAGCACTTTTGTGAACCTCCAATAGGCTGTCTGACACTAGGTGTTTTTATCAACTACAATCATGTATCTCTTTCATGGTCAGCCGCAGAAACACTACCAAACAGTTATCATAAAGCAATGAGTATACGTATGAGAGCGGTCTTCGCAGTAGTGAAAATAATTAAGACCTAAAAAATTTCAGACCTTATTTTCACTACTGCTTAAGTAGTGTTCACTACTGCGAAGATCACTGTTATACTCATTGCTTCAACCACAGTTCAAATATATGATTTTCATATAATTATTCACAAAAGTTATCATAAACACATAAGAACCTTTTTACCTTCAAAAACAGCCCTCCTAGAATCCACTTTCCGTGTATGTTTTCCTTGGCCCTTCTTGCTGCTCTTGCTGAATAGAACTTGACAAATGCATATGAAGAACCGCAGTTTGAATTGATTTCCTCTGAAGCTAGAATGATGAAGATTTCTTGTATTTACGTGCAACATAGAAGTATTGAAATTGATAACTGCAAAGTTTAATGAATTGTCTGTGCAAGTTGCAGATCGGAGAATTGAACTATCTCAGTAATATACCTTCTGAATTATCTGATGAGTCCATCACTTGTACTTCGTATATTAAACCGAACTGGGAGAATATGTCTAACAGCCTCACCTACGAACAAACTCAGCTGTAAAAATCATTCAAATGTAACCTAAATGGCAGTTATCTTCAAATCAAACCTCACCTGCACTACTTCTTTCTCAAGTCGTCTTGATATGTTGGTGACATAAAGATTGACTTCGCTTTTGTAAGGGCGGAAAAACTCAATAAGCTCAACTTTTGGCGAGTTCGGGAACTCCGATCCCTTCATGTTGTTTTTAGATTCCGCCATATTGTTTTTCAAACTTACCGCCGACAGTCCTAGCCAGGTCAGCGGTGTATAATGTACCTGACGGGTCGTGTTTCCGCGATTGCCTTTGGAGTAGGACAGGAAGTTTCACAGGCCGCCCAACTGTTAATTTTGAACGCTTAGTGAATCGGTGACAAAGTGGATTCTGCGCTGCCAATACTGCGTGACGCGACGATTCGTACTCATGGTTTGTACAGGAAAAACAGTGCGTCAGTAAAGTATCTGATTCACAGCCGGACTTCTCGACTTCTCCGGGAGATAGCGTGGGTTCCCGTGTGTAATCAAGTTTCCTGCCAAAATTGCAACTTCGTGCATCGTGATCAGTGCCATGGTAACATCCAAGTATAATTAATCAGCCAATAAGAAAATGTGTTTAGACCACACTTATAAACTCAATGCTTTTTCAACCAATTAATACGCTAGACACCAACAAGCACCTTGGAAGCATCGTCTCCGCTATAGCTTGAGATCTCTCTTCCACCGATAAGTTAGAGTTAGGTTCAGATAACTTTCTTCGATTTTCAGTTTTTATCAAATGGCGTCACCTAAAGATTCAACAACATCCTACAACAACGTTCATCGCAAATTTCCTGACCCAAATTGAGCGGTCTCGTGGAAAGTTGTAGTTTCCAACAAACCGAGGCAAACAGTTTTTTCTTTTAACAATCATAGCTTTCCCTATTCCCTTTTGAAAGCATGATCAGTCGTTTTAGAAAAAAATATTGTGGAATAGCATCCACTGTTGATCAAGATCTACCCATTACTCTCAATATGCTGATCGAGGGTCTCAACGGGGTGATGGCTTATACGCACGCGTCTCCTAACCTAGATCAAGAGTGCGGCTGGGGATTCATGAGGTGCCCGTAACCCTGGGGTGTCCGTAAATTCCTCCCCCTTTGTGAGATAACTATTTGCGCGTCAACAACATAAAACTTTCATAATTCAGTCCAAACAACGTCCATGGCCAAGAGATAATAATTTCTTTCCAAGGCATAATTTTTTTTAGTTTTATACTCTCACTCAGCTTGGGGGTTCTTCGAATCTCCCTGAGTAAATACGAGCCTGCTGATACGCGGGTAAAGCAACAATATGAGCAATTTCCCCCATGGGGAGTGCAAATTCATTTTTAAGATTCCCCCCTCCTTATCTCATCTACGCACAGGAGACTATCTATGAACAGGAAAATCACTTGGGGGAATAAATGCAACAAATAAGCTAAGTGTATCAATTTTCTTAAACCTTGTAAAGTCAGAACGTGTAAATCTAGTTTATTTCCCCATGTAAGGCCTAACAGATGTCAAGTCCTTTCTGAATGAACAAGTCCTCTCTAAAAGTAAAAGTCCCTTCCGAATGTAGGAGTCCACGCAAACCCCACACAAACCCCATTTGAAGTTACGTTAGTGCCGAGCCTTCTAGCCGTGAAGATTACATCTTCCAGGTGAAGTACTTTATCTAGCATTTTTATGTACTATACTATAAATCTGGAGCTATTGCATGTCATCGCACAAAGCGTAGATTGCTGTTGTAACATAAATAAGTATTTAGTCGCATTATATGAGCAACAATCAGTTTTTACTGCTTCATTATTCCTGTTTTTTAATATTACTTTTTTGATAGATTTACGATTTGGCAATGTAATTGAAATTAAAAAGGGTCGTCGAGTTGATTGTGGCGATTACTTGGTTGTAAATTTAGTAGACGTAAAATTTAATTAGTATCATCTCCCTAAACAATAACACTATTCTTAGAAACTGGTCATCATTTATCCCCAGGGTGGTGGGTGGGGAGGATTTTGCTTATGTCACGATAAAATTCAGTTGATGCCCCATAAGGCTTCGTTATATTGTTATGATCCACCGCTCTTTAACAGGTAATAGGCAGTCAATGTTCTATAGTCCTCACTTTATATTCTGTTGGCGACGGCCGAATCCCTCTGCTTTCCCCTTGAAAATAATGTGATGCCCCCTCCCCCAAAATTCCTTCATAAGCCCCTCCCTCGACGGTAAAAAAAAGAACTGGTCCCTGAATACGCGCAGCTTTCCTAAGAGGAGTAGAGGCAACATTCCGGAAGCGGTAACGTTTCAGTTACAAGCCTTTTCTGAGTGGGATATAAAAGTAGGCTTCAACGCACCGGAAGGTTTTCCCCTTTGTGCCTTAAATATCTAACATGCGATCCTCCCCAACAGCATTAATTCCAAATACATTAATGAAATATGCTTAGTGTTATAGCGTCCTTTAGCTGATCAGTTCGCCCATGCCCGTTTTCTGGTTCCTGAATGATGGGACGAACAAATTAAACCAACAAAGGGACGGTGAGGCTCAATTTTTGGGAGGACGCGAAGAAACGAAAAATTACAACCTTATAAAACGCCCATCGAAAATTTTTCGACACAAAATATCTCATGGAGAATATTGAAAATACCATTTCACTACAGTTGGTAATACTCTCACATTGGTAGAGCGTCGGGCTGTTGTGCGGGAGGTCGTGAGTTCAAATCCGGCCGGACCAACACTCAGGGTCTTTAATTAACTGAGAAGAAAGTGCTGCCTTTGTAATAATATCTGCAAAATGGTTAGACTTTCTAGTCTTCTCGGATAGGGACGATAAATGGAGGTCCCGTCTCCTGCAGGGTTGGGGTAGGAGACGTTAATTTCCCACACACGAGATTACAGTGTGATGGATGTCCTCCCTGGGGTGGGATGGGTGGGTAATAAAGGGGTTAGGTGTCAATTGGAAAGAAAGTTCTGTTCCTTTCTCCTGCCATTCCTATGGCGAATGAATTAAACTAAACTAAAACTAAAACTAAACCATTCTGATTGGCTAATTTGCAGTTTTCGATGGGAGTTAATTAAGACATTGCTGCTCGCTTCAACGTTTCACATAATGGTGACGCATGAAAGAATCGCTTTAAATGAGGTCGATATTGTAGTAAATAACAGATCGACAGTCGTTTGACGTAGTATGTACTCTCATCGAAAACAACGTTGTGAAAATGTCATTGACTCACGAAGTGCAATCCACAACATGCTGACCTCTGTGATGACGAGTATAGTTATATGGCTCTCGATAATGAGAGAATATTGACCGGCAATAGAGCATTTTGATTGGTTGATTTTAGTTATTGGCCCTCTGACTGCCCAAGTCGTGTAATAAGAGTACAGACCACGTCAGACCGTTGTCGATTTTTCTTCATTTCCGGGCCTCTAGACCGCAGAATATTCTGAGGAGGGTGTAGCCAATCCTCATCCCCCCCCCTACAAACAAGCCCCTTCAATTAAAAATAGGTTTCGTTGTCCTTTATAGAAGAGTCACATTTTCATACCAAAATATAAGAAAAAGTTTCCACGCTTACTATATCGCCATTTCTGACGCATATAGGTTGCATTTCCCGCTTTCACTTATCTGTGAAGTCACACATGTTCTGAGACGAAGCAGTTACTGTGAGCAGCCATTGTTTTGGCTGAGAAGGTGGTGTATGATGGATAACGCTGGCTAGTCAGGATTAGTGGAGTGGGAACCCATTTTCATGGGATCCCATACATCAACACCAAGGAAAGCCACAAAGGTTGCTAGTGAAACTACTGATTAATATATTTAATACTATACAAACTAACGCTGGCTAGCCAGGATTAGTGGAAAATGAATCTATCGAAAAGATGTAGAAGCTGAGTTCTCAGATTGGGGCTCTGGTTGCAAGTCTTTTTTTAAAGATGTTACCTGGGTAATTCCTGTGATATCTGTTCGTTAATCACTTTTAACCATTTTGAAGATAATGTAAATCTTTACTCGACAACAAGAGACGTTCAATGAACATCTCCCTTTCAAAAATTACACAATTTAACCGTAAGAACCAATTTAACACAGATAACTATTACTCTCGCTGTCACCTAATAAAGAGGCAACCGTATACGCTGTTCATGCAATTTTTGTTTTGGGTTAATTGCCTTTGATTGGGAAATTTGATAACGACTAGAGTTCTGAGCTCAAGACGGATTCATTATATTACTATCAAAGTGGTTACATTCATAGTCAATTTTTGTTCTTTCTTTTTTTAACGTAATCTTGGAACGGTTATATTACTCTTTGAAAAGCAGTAAATTTTACAAAAAGTTTTTTGATAGCCCAGATAGATGTTTCTGGTTTCTGGAGCATGCATCTCCTGTAATTACAAGGACTTTTCCTTAAAATAGTGACGCACAGCGACAAAAAGGTTTCCACTGGACCACATAGCCAGTGGAATCATATTCACAAATGCCACTAAGATGTGTCTCTTCCACTGTCTTCGCCAAACAGCCATAACAGGCATGTTCTGATAACGTGTCTCAATTGCAAGAGACACACTGGTGAAAAACCACTCAATCACCAGTGGAATTGAGGTACAAGAAATAAACGATATCAGCAAGTTAACAAAGGAATCGCTTTGCAAAAAAATCAATTGATACAAAAATAAAAAACCGTTGTCAGACACTATAGCAGTTGACTCAAACAGCATGCTTATAATAGCAATGTCTGCCATTAGTCTCTCGCGGCGAGGAGTTCGAAAGCTTCCCCAAGGAGCTGAGGTTCTTTTCCAAAGCTGATGACAAAAGTGATCGAGAACCACCATGGTACTGCGCTCCACAACTTCTATCACTCCGTGAATTATTCCAAGTGTAGCAATACTGGCCATGCCATCTAGCTCAGCTTGTAAAAGTCGTGTCACAACGGCAGCACTAAAATATACCGGGACTAAAAGAACATAAGAATATCCCGGATGAGTGATATTCCACAGCTGTTGAACACATATACGAGATAACACTTTTGCAGCCACCCCAATAAGAGGAGCAAACGTTGCAATTAGTAACCTGTCATGACTTCCTTTCCGTTGTTTCAGGTAGGCTGGGTAGAGGAAATATAAGACAGCAAAGCCGCCTAAATATGTCAGAAAGCTTGGCGTCATGAGTTTACAAACTAGGCTCAGCGTTTCCCGACTTGATCTCATACGCAGAGCCTTCCTTCCAAGATAACAAAACTGAAGACAAGGGCCGGCAGCGACAAAAACATACGACGATAATTCGTATTTAAGAGAGTACTTCTCATAGTAAGGCTTTACAAAAGCTTGAAGCATTATTCGATAGAGTGCGTCAACGCAGAACACACTAAAACAAATTAGAAACAATCGCTTTTTTAAACCTCGTAATTGGTGCCGGCGGAAAAGAAACAGAACATTGCAAAGTGACCAAAAGTGAAAGAGAACGCAACCTGAAGTCAAATCGTAACCTGCTCTGATCCACTGTATGCGTAATGGCATGGGCTTGACATGTGTGTAGCGGAAAAAAACTATACGCGAGGTAACAGAGAAGAATGAACCCTGCAGCTATTCCTGTAGCAGCAAAAAGCGAAATCAAAGCTCCAATGTACATTGATTTACAAATTGTCTGAAAGGAAGATGGTCTAAGTTGCTTCCAGGCCATTGATCTGTCTTCTAGTTGGTCATCCTGTAATTCTTCCGGCTCCTCAGGAGAACATGCATTTATGACTCTCACGTGTACACCTCTTGCTGCCAAGTAGTTCGTGCTTGTGCTCTCTTCGTTGCCATATTCTTGGTAAATAAGTTCGCCGACTGGAGGGTAATACCATTCTCGTCCAGTGCTTTCCAAAGGGTTGAATCCAAACGACTCGATAGTGAATGCTGGTTCTTCCGGGTTGTAATGTTCCATAACACTTCGTGTAAACGAAAATACTATCTTTCCAAACACCTCTATCAGTACTCCCACTGCCATAACTTGAAGGATTTTCGATATAACGATTCAACTTCTCAAAGAGAGTGCAAGTTAATCTAACTTGAAATTTGCCCTCTTAGTTTTCCGTATACGCAAGAATCAGATTAGAAGTTCTGGTTCCATAAATGTTTGGGAACTGAATACATAAAGAATTTGAATGATAATTATTCTGCGGTTAGCTGAAAGGACTGCTTTTCGGTTCCGTCGGAGTGTTTTCAGCATATTCGTTGTGAACTGATAAAAGATGGGCTAGAGCAGGTTTACTTGAACCATCTAAGACTTTTCAGGCCACCGAAGGAAATCTGCTGTACTGAAACAACCGGAAATGAAATTATGGGCCAATTAATGTCTTTTATCAGTGACGGTTAAACAAAAAAGAATCCTGCTGAGCTTTAGACAAGCAGTACAATCCCAACTCGGAAGACTTGATGTTTTGTTATAAAACCGATGTTGTTCAAAGAATGACCATAAGGTAATAGTCAATGCTTATGATAGCCTTTGAGTGTTGTACCTTTTTTGTCTTTGGGCATACAAATAACAAACAGGAAGTATCGTGTTCTATAAAATCTGAATCAAACTGCGACCAACCACATCCGGCCACTTGAAACAAACAGTAACGTACAAAACAAAAGATAATACCCGAGAATGAAATTGTGTTTTTGGTAGCCTTAGTCTCACGGCTGAATTGTAAACCACAAATGTCTCGAGCCTGCTATGAAACTAGTTTATTTCAGAGCATTTGTCTGAGCTGTGAATGAGAAGATGTTTACTGATTCGGTTGCTCAAAAGTCAGTATTCCCATCAAGGAAGGGCATTGACAGAAGGGTTGGGAAAGATGGCAATTTCACTCACAAGGAGTGTTATGGAATCGTCAAACTCAGTAGAGCCAGAGATCAGTGAGAAATACAGTGAAAAATACAAGGAGGAAATATCAGTTTGAATGATACCATTAAAACACAGTCAGTCCTTTTCACCGGTTGGTCAGGCGAAGTTACGTACTGACCACCTCCGAGAGTAACAGAGTAAGAATTTTTTCAAAAACTTGTATCTAATACTGTTCTCTTCTAAAAAAAAAAAAAAAAAAAAGAAAGAAAGAAAGAAAGAGAAGGGTCAGCCTGTGTATTTCTTGAAATGTACTTCACTTTTTACCTCTACTTACTAGACTTGTTAAAGATTAGTTGAAAAGAAAAAAAAAACATTTAAAATTCTTTTTCCAGATGACATACTATCTTTCCTTTATGTTACATATAGCATTCAGTGACAGCAAATTTTTCTCCATAAAACATATATTGTTGTTGGTCCTAAATGAGAGTGGCGACCCCCCGTTTTTATTTCCAAAGGTACGCTCACTTTTTTTTGTTTGTTTTGTTTTGTTTTGTTTTGTTTTGGTTTATTTTTTTAGGAGGGGGTTGGGGTGGCGGGGCCGTAGTTGTGGAGAACTAACTAAATTAAGACGGCTAAGTTATCGCCTCGTCAGTTCGTTTGGGATGCCTTTCCTGGAAAGCTGTCTTATTGTATCAATTGTAATGACATTTCTTTCCCGGCATCCTCGAACAACGAGTACTTTAACATTATAACTAAACAACATGTAACCAAGTGAAATTTCATGAAATTAAAGGTGCCCGAGTTATAGGTACCTCCGAATATGAAAACCCTACAAAACCACTCAGAATCGTGGGGACTGGGTAAAATTTTATGGGAAAGTTTGTGATACAACCAGCAGTGTCGCGCTAGTTGTAGTAAAATACAGTTTGATCTGTACATGGAAATCACAGGAGGGAAAAGGAGAACCTCAGAATATTCTGCCAAAAAGTTTCAATGTCATTGCTATTTTGTCGAGTTGTCCTCCATGTATTGTTTTCAAGAGCATTTGATTTTAAACGCGATGTAATTATCCCATTTTTTATTATTATTTGTTATTCGTGGCGTCACTTCTATGCAGTTGCATACGCAGACGTTTGATCGATGCGTTTCATTGTATCAGGTCACCCATCCGTGTCGATTGAATAACGATATGTTTAAAAGATTCTTACGTCATTATGGAAGCTCTGTGAGGTAGGTCTTTGTTTATGAGAAAAGTCCAGATCATCAACGCCACTGTGCAGGACAATGTCGGTGAGACGACCTTCCCTAGGTTGGTAAGAGGTGTTCATATGCTGAGCAATGCCAGTTCTGAGTGGCGTTTCAGATTAAACCTATGCTAAGCCATGGTCGTAAAACAAACCTCAATATATACATTTGCATATAATTGCATGGGGTTTATCTTTAAATTGAATAACAATCTGTTCACAAGACAGTGAAAGGTGTTACTAAAAGTCTTCGATATTTTTAGTTGTTATTCCAGCTGCTCCCCCATGCTGATGCTCGTAGGAATATCAGTAAAAAACAGGAAGAATCATTGAATCAGAGCAAATGTACTCGAAAGCGAGAGTAATGCTGCGAAAATAGGTAAATTGGAATCATCTAAGATAGTTAAAGTTTATTTCCCTTTTTGAGACGGATGCTGATAAAATTCTTAGTATAATACATGCCAAAATGTAATCAGTAGTAAACAGTAACAGGTCTCAGTCGTTTTATTCCGAGAGTAGTTATTGTCACTCCACAGTGTGCATATTTAATAAGGTTCATTTGCTAATTAACTTTCCCACTTCCTTCAGTTTTGCAATAATTAGTTACGGTCCGTTTCAGGATCACTGTCTCCTTGTATTACTTCACTTAAATCATTGATCAAATGGCCCAATAAAGTTGATGGAAAATAGAATTTGGAAGACCCAGTTTTGTGATGTTTGATAAAATAGATCGCATAATGTCTTAAAGAGCCATACAGTCCGGATATCAGCTTGCAGCTGACCACTATCAGGGCCAATATCATGATCCACACGACCCTTTTAATTTATCGATGTTTTATTCTTTGCATGATTATTACAATGAATGTAAACTCACTAAACGAATTAAATCACCTTTTGTAATTGTTTACACAGGACAACTCAACCGACAGACGATCGAGTGAGAGTCGGTCACGCTATTGATTTCATTTTAAATATTTACAGAAACTAAATAAAGGGGAAAAAGCAAAATACTTTATTCAAATTTGCGGTTATTAGGCCTATTGTGACTAAATGGTCCACAGTTATGTTTTTCCCTTTTTTTCTTCAGCTGACAAACCTTGCTTGAACGTCTGGAATTCAAACGATACTTCGCTATGTTGCGATCCAATTCCGTAGAGTTCAGTTCATTCAAAGTAGTCCTTTTAGGTGAGTGTAATGAATATGATGGGAAAAGTGTGTAGGAGTTAATTTGGATATATCAACAAAGTTGAAATGGTAAATTGGCCAACGTAACGATTACAAAAGCTGACGTTTCGAGCTTTAGCCCTTCGTCGGAGCGAATGGAGGAATTGTGGGTTGTGTGTGCTTTTAAAGGCAGAAAATGGAGCTACGTTTCTGCCTTTAAAAGCACACACAACCCACAATTCCTCTATTCGCTCCGACGAAGGGCTAACGCTCGAAACGTCAGCTTTTGTAATCGTTACGGTGGCCAATTTACCATTTCAACTTTGTCCATATATCGATCCAAATTATTTCGTTACCCCCACCGACGCAGCCCCAAACAGTTTCTTTAGAAACTATCAGCCTTTATTCATGTGTAGGAGTTAGCTGGGTAGTGCGTATAATATGCAGCAAGAGAAGATTTTCTTTCTTGTTTACACTGAAGAGATGAAACAGTCCCAGCAAACGCGCTGAACGTAAGCTGAAATTGCAATGCATAGGTAAAAAGTTAACTTACATTCAAATGGACAATGTGCACCGGAGGGAACCAACATTTCATCGAAATATTGGCCACCGTTAATTGAAAGCTCTTTGTAACAGCGAACTGACGACGAGGAGCGAACGCTCGCAACGTCAGCTTTGAAACTCTTAAAGGTGGTCAATTTTCATTATCATCTCAGTTGATAAAACCAAATTATCTTGTAATACCCCCACTGACATATATAGCATCGCAGTTTCTTTGAAAACTTACCCCCTTTAATCAACCAGGTATTATTTAGTTCTTATTAACCGAGCGGGAAGTCTGTATGGGAGATTATTATATGGCTGTGTCTCACAAGAACTGGGAACTACCGAATTCACGAATTTGATTGGCTGAAATCAATATTGAAAGCGGTCTAGATTTTCCCACCTAGACCGGCATCTAGACCGGTATACCAATAATAAATTTCCGGTAGACCAATAATAAAATTGGCATATAAGACAGCCATATAATAAACATCTTATTAACCGAGTTAGGTCAGTCTGTATGAGAGAACCTTGACCTCGGTTCCTGGTACAGACCTCACTGCGTTCGGTCTGTACTAGCGACCTCGGTCAAGATTCTCCCATACAGACCTCCCGCTCGGTTAATAAGAACTTAATCTTGACCGAGGTCGCCAGTACAGACTGAACGCAGGTCTGTACCAGCGATCGAGGTCAAGATTCTCCCATACAGACCGACCTAGCTCGGTTAATAAGTTGTTAATTATATGGCTGGATCTAGAAAGTAACAGAACATATTATTTGTAACTTTTTTTTCTAGACCGGTCTAGATGCCGGTCTAGATGGGAAAATCTAGACCGCTTTCAATATTGATTTCAGCCAATCAAATTCGTGAATTTGGTAGTTTCCAGTCCTTGTGAGACACAGCCATATAATAACCCAGGATACAACAGTTTGCTTCCCTTGTACCATACATTATATTTGCCTCTCGTTGCTTGTAATGTGATGTACCGGCAAATTTGAAAGGTAAGCCATCATTTATTATTCTCTCCACCATCTGTATCATGCTGATATGTTTGAGACCTTTCCGTGTCTCGTGGATTATTTCTCTTCTTGTTTATGTGCGACCATGGAAATTCATTGTTGAAATTTCTATAGCTCGAAATTAAGGGTACACAGTGCTATTTTTTTCGCCCTCAAACACCTTTTGACTGTTTCTTGAAACAGGTGGTAACAGTGTAGGGAAATCGTGGCTGCTTCACAGATGCATTCATGGCTTGATCGATCAACGTATCCCTTCCACCATTGGAAGTAAGAGGTGCTTCTTCAATCAGAAATACTTGATTAATTAAAGGGGTGAAAAAGTACATGTTTTGACCACTGTTTCAACTTCTGTACTTTCAGTCTCCTTTTCTGTCAAGAGAGTAAATCTTGAAGATGACACACAGGTGAAACTTGTTATTTGGGATACCGCTGGTGCCGCAAGATTTGACAGTTTGAGCTCAGCGCAGTGCGAAGGAGCTCACGCTATCATTGTTGTGTATGACATAACAGAGGAGACTTCTTTTGAAAGAGCGAAGAAGTGGGTTAAAGAGGTTCAGGAAATGGCCATCCCAAACATTTTTCTGGCACTTGTAGGGAACAAAGCAGACCTTGAAGCTAACAGGAAAATTAAAAGTGAGGTAATTTAATGCAAATTTCGATGTTATCAGTTGAAATTGGATTTCTGTGTCTTTTATAGTCACACAGTGTTAAACGCCTTCTAGAAATCCTAATTGGAAGCGGGAAACCATAAATCTCTTCTATGTCACAGCTAAGATGTCTGCTTATGCTTTTAACTTTTAGTTCACCATGCTATAAATTTTACACAAACAACAACCGTTACGATTTAAAGCTGGCTTGGGATGAGGGTAACTGCTTGGTGAAGGTTTTAACGTGAAATGAATTTGTTCAATCAGGATGCTCAGAGCTATGCCGAATCCATTGGAATAGATCTCTGCATGGAATTGTCAGCCAAGAGTGGAGGCAATATGGAAGAATTGTTATTGGCAATAGGTAAGTAATCCGGCTTGCAGTATGCGATTTTCACTGACTACTGTACTTGAAGCGATTGAAGGTCACAACAGTTCCAGCGATATTATACATACAAGAAGATTTTGTCCACACTTAAGCGCATGAAGTAACTGACTTTTTTCAGAAAGAAGAGGACTTTTCTTAAATTATAAGAAGCTCAAAGCCATCATTAAATGTCACAAATAGGCTGCGATTTACAATGACAAGATGGCACCACTACCAAGAGAAAGACTCTAAAGAGAAAGTTAAAACATGAGCAGTGGACAGCTACATTGTACGATTACGTTTACAATGACAAGATGGCACTAGAGTAGAGCTGCAGTAACACACACACACACACACACACACACACACACAGACACACACACACAAAACAACTGCAACTGTTTTTAACCTTATTAAAAAACAAAACGCGATGCTGTTGTTGTAAAAATGAGTGTACAAGTAATATATTACCATGCAAATGCATCTGTCTTACTGTCTCAGCTATGAAATTTTGCTTAGCAATCTTGTCGCATTCCACTATAGCGTTATTACCGCGTAAATGGTTTATTTTTAATTTCGTAGGGTATAACTTAAAGCTGGCGCATATGTCTGTGAATGATTTGAAGGAAACAATAGATAAAAATTCCAAGACCTTAGATCTTGGACGCAGAAAGCTGGTGAGAGTCCCTGACTCCGTCGCAGAATTAAGGGAAGTACAAATACTAAACCTTTCAGAGAATGATCTCACCCAGCTACCAAGATGTTTGAACAATCTGAAGAATGCTACAATGTTGATCTTAAGCCAAAACAAGCTGAAACGGCTGCCAGATGCTATCATTGAACTGACCAACCTGATTTGTCTTAACGTGAGCGACAACCAGATTTCCTGTCTACCTAAAGCTATCATAAGCCTGCAGAAACTTCAAGTGCTGGATTTGAGGAATAACAAATTGCAAAGACTTGATGCAGATATCAGCTGCCTGAAGCGACTTAAAAAGCTCTCTGTGAATGGTAACCCCTTGGAACTAGAAGCAGTCAGAAGTCTAATGGACCTAAAGGAGAAATATCAGGGAAGGATTTGTTTGGATATTGCAGGTAGCTGTAAAAAAATGCAAATTTCTCTCTTGGCTATCTCATTTAAGACTGATCTGATTAGCACGTAATGAGGGACAAAAACATTTTATCAAAACATTAGAGATGGAGTATAAGGGTGACTTCACCGATGAAAAAAGGTTTTTTGTTTCATGGACAATGAATATTTACTCGATAAGCGTGTGGAAAAGACTTCCACTATCCTGAAACAAGCGTTTCATCCTATGAATGGCATTTCTCTCGGCTGTTTTGATCTTCATTCACATTTTCTTGGCTTTTGATGTAAAATTATCTGTAGTAATGTTTACATAGTTTCTTCCTCATGATACGATCTTCAAAAGAAGCAAAGGGACAATAAGGTTTTTTATTACACGACTCGGGCAGTCAGAGGGCCAATAACTAAAATCAACCAATCAAAATGCTCTATTGCCGGTCAATATTCTCTCAGTATTGGACCGGGTACTGTCCCGAATGGTCCCGAATGATACCGCACTTGTGTCCCTTTGAACTTCAGTCGTAGAATAAATCTCTTATTAACCAAGCTTGCTCGGGACCCTACTGGAAGAATATCGGCCCTCGGTCTTTTTTGTACGGACCTCGGGCCGATATTCTCCCAGTACGGCCCTCGCGCTTGGTTAATAAGATATATGTTACGTAGGTCAAATTCATAGCTGCAATAGTTTTTCCCAGCAGCAGTTCATTCTTCTACTCCTCCTAAAACGCTGTTTCATCAATTGCTGAATTCCTCATGAAAGTTAAAAAAAAGAGTATAG